TACCCCCCCCCTCCCCCCCACTGCCGCCCGCTCCCCACGTGGCCCAGCGTGCTGACCGCCACTAGGCGCTTGGTCTGGCTGCCGCCATCCTGGATGGCGTCGATGACGAGGGGCAGGATCTCGGGCACGTCGGCGCGCAGCTGGGTGCCTGCCACCGTGGCCAGCTCCCCCATGGTCATCAGCACAGCCACCTCAAAGCCCTCCTCTGCAGCGCCGGGGGGGTGGGGTGGGGTGGGGTGGGGTGGGGGGGCTACCGCAGCGGCTGCACACACGCCATATCACAGCCCAGTGCGGGGCGCCGCTGCACCTGGGTGCCAGCCACCCCCAGCCACGCGGCGTCCCCACCTTGGGATGCGCTCTTGGTGCTGGGCTTGGCTGGAGTGGTGGAGGGCGCTGCCGCCGCGGTGCTGCCCGCGGCACGCAGCTTGCTGATCAGCGCTCGCAGCACGGGCGCCGTGTAGGGCAGCACCAGCTTTGGGGCCGACCGGATCAGCACGCCCAGCAGCCGCGCACTCTCTGCAGTGGGTGAAGGACAGCACAGCGTGCCATGCCTCAGGTGACATTGGGCACACAGGAGCGTAGCGCAGCGCATGGGGCAACACAGAGTAACAACATTACCCACCCCACCCACCCGCCCACCAGTACCTTCGCGCTGTCGCGAGTCTGGCGAGTGGTCCATGTCTGACAGCAGCTGCATGAGGTGGCGGCGCAGCGCTGGCATGACGTAGGCGGGGTTGGTGTGGGAGATGGCGCCCGCCAGCTGGATGGTCAGGCTGCGCACGTGGCTGCTCTCGTCGTTCAGCGCCACAAACAGGCTGCGCAGGCACTCGGCCTGGGCCAGGTGGCTCTCCAGTGCTGTGGTGCATGACAGCGCCTCCAGGATGGTGCGCCGCACCGTCACCGACGGGTCTGCCACCGCCGACGCCAGCAGCCGCTGCATGGTCTGCGGCAGGCGGGGGGGGGCACATAGGGAAGAAGACTCGGGCAAGGCACACGCCAGTTTCAGTGTGAAGTACTGGCAATGCAGTACTTGCAGCAAGCATGCAGAACTGGCAGCACGGCAGGCACCCTGCCCACCTTGTCCACGGCGCGCTGCTCCGAGGCGGGTAGGCGTCCGCCGGGGCGCCTGCTGTACTGCACATGCTGCTCCAGCACGTGGCAGCTGGCCACCGCAGCGGCCCGCCGCACCGCGCCGTCGTTGTCGTCCAGGTATGGGGTCACCTGGTCCCGCACAAAGTCCAGCAGGTGGTGGGGTGTCCACGAGAAGCCGCCCAGCGTGTGCAGCGCCAATCGCGTCAGAGCGCCGCCCTGCAGCTCCCCCGGCGCCAGCGCCTGCTGCAGCGCGCTGATCGTGGCGGGGGGGGTGGCGGGGTTGAAGGGGCGCCGCGCCAGCACCAGCGACAGCAGGTCCAGCAGCAAAGCCTGCACGCGTGGCAGCAGGTCGGGCAGGGCTCCAACCGCCTTGTGCATCGCCTGCACGAGCGACTCTGCAGGCGGGCGGGTGAGGAGCGGGCAGGCAAAGAGCAGGTCTCAGTGGCAGCTCTTGCCCGTCGCCGGCTGGGGAGCAGCGGCGCACAACCATACGCACCAGCCGACATCCTATGGCACCCCTCCATCAGCCCCACCTCCCACCCCCCCTCCCCCGCTCACCCGACAGCCCCGTCTGGAACATAGGCTCCAGAAGCAGCAGCATGTAGGGCTGCCAGTCGCGGCGCAGCGCCACCGCCAGCGTCCCCGCACACTCGAGCGCCTCGGGGCACAGCGGGCGCCCGCGGCTGCGCTGCCCCAAACACTCCTTGACCTGTGCTGCGATGGGGCGCAGGAAGTCGTCGGGCGCCTTCATGCGCGCCGCCACGCCCGCCCGCGCCAGCGCGCCCGCCATCTCCCCCAGCGCGGTGAAGCCGGCGCCGCGCTCGGCGGGCACCAGCAGCACCCCCAGCAGGTACTCGGTGGCCTGCTTCAGGTAGGACTTGACAAAGCGCTCGGGGGCAAAGGCGGCGAGGCGGGGCAGCAGGGTGATGACGGCGCGACGAATGAGCTTCTCCTTGGAGTCGCGGAAGCGCAGCACGGTGTCACAGACCTCGCGGTACCGTGCCAGCATGAACTCGCCTGCAGGATGGGAGGCAGGCGGGTGGGGGAGGGAGCGGGCAGACAGGGTGTGAGCAGGCAGAGCGCATGCAGGGCTGGGTACGGTGTGAGCAAGTGAAGGCAAGGGCAGGCGTCCAGCTGGTGTGGCCAGCAACAGGGCCTGCCAGGGATAGCCATGGTCGGCACGCTCCCCTGCTGCGCACCCGTGTGGCGCAGTAGCTCGCCCAGAGCCAGCAGCGAGCCGTGCACGGTCTCCAGGGAGGTGACGCGGGTGAGGCCGCGCTGCGTCTCCTCAAACAGGCGGTAGTACCACTGCACGCGGTACCGCGTCTCCCGCTTCTCCACCAGCACCAGGCACGCGCGCAGCGCCGCCACCGCGGCCTCGCGCACGTGCTGGCGCGGGTCGCGCAGCGGGTTCCAGATGACCTCGATGAAGGCGCGCACGTGGACGTTGAAGATGGCAGGCGCGTGCTCCGCCAGCTCGCGCAGCAGCAGCACGCCCGCCAGGCGCAGGTGCTCCTGCCGCGGCGCCGCCAGCCACTGGATGCCGCGCTTGACCTGTGGCGTGGGGCGGGGTGGGGGCGGCCATGGAGTAGGAGGGGGGGGACGCTAGGCATTTGGGCAGCGGCCAGCGGTCAGAGCGGCAGCGGCCAGACCGTCAACCCAACTGCTGCATCCATCAGCAACCAGTGAGTTGTGCAGCCAGCACCAGCGCGATGGCGGCGAGAGGAAGGATAGCAGAAGCCAGCAGGAGCGGAGGCTTGTGCCCACCCCACCAGCCTGCCATGCCTCCTGCCATCTGCACGGCCCGCCCCGACCGCACACACTATCCCCACCCCCACCCAGCACCCCTCACACCTGCTCCTCCACCACGTCGGCCATCAGCGCACCGCCCGCCTTGACCAGGTGTCCCAGCGTGATGGCAGCTGCCTGCATGGTGTGCACCTCTGTGGTGGCCTGGAACACCTCCATCAGCGTCTTCACCAGGTCGGACAGGCGGGAGGCGGAGGCGGAAAAGACCTTGGTGGAGGCGAGCTCGTCGATGGCCAGCACCCCCGCCAGCCGCTCGTGCGGGTCGGGGGAGGCCACCAGGGAGCGAATGCGGGCGTGCAGCTCCGCCAGGAAGCGGTTGAACTTGTCGCCCTTGGTGCTGCGCCCCTCGGCGTCCACAAACGCCGCCAGCGCGTGCTCCTCGCGTGCCACTGCCGCGCCTGCTGGTGGTGTGGTGTGTGAGCGGGAAGGGAGGAGAGTCAGGGGCGCCAGATGCATGGGAAGGGGACAAAATGAAGGGGCGCGTATGCAATGCAATGCATGGATGCAGAAAAGTCCCTGGTTCTGCATCTCCCATATCGGGCGTTGGCAGCCACAGAGGCGGGAGTGGCTGCAAGTCAATCGCATCACCCAGCCCCGTCCCTGTGCGCACCCAGCAGATGCACCACATCCCTGCTTCCAAAACCCTTGTATCCAGGCGCACAGCGCAGGAGCACAAGAATGCCAGACGGGCAGCGGGCGGAGGCTCACCTGGGCGGCAGAGGGCCGCCAGGCAGCGGCTCAGACCCGACAGCGGGTCTACCGCCCCGACCGGCTGCTGCACCATCGCCGATGTCATTGTTCTGCCGCCCTGCCGGCGCTCAGGGTCGCTGTCTTTGCAGCAGGGGCATTGCAAGTCACGTTTCCTCGCAGCCAAGGCTGGCCGAGGCGTAGAGACCACCTGCTCCAAACAAGCGCGAGAGCGATGGGTTGATGGTGGCGAACCGAAGCATTCCCCCAAACCCTGCACTGTCCACCTGGACCGGCCATCTGCTCTCTGTCATCTTTGTTTCGATAGATTGACCTCCCGCCGCTGCCCCAAGCCAGCCAAGCAACTGCCCCTATTGTTCCTTGAACATGGTGGAGGGCCTGGTCTCCTTCATCACCACCAGCGTCAGGGGGGAGCAGCTGGAGCGCCTGTTTGTGCAGCCCTATGCAGTGGTGGCCATCCTGAGGTCCCTGCCGCCGCTAGCCCGCCACATGCTGCTCCGCCTCGCCAGCACCGCCGGCACCGTCCCTGCAGGCAAGCGCAGTGGACTCCAGTTGGAAACCACACAGTCCTCTGTCGGGCACAGTGTGCCAATGCTGCTGATTGTTGTCCACTTTCACCATTCCTCCTGATCACCTGTGCCGCAGCTCTGGCTGACAGCTGGGCGACTTCAGACGGGAGTAGCAAGCTTTCGGCAGCACTATGTGAGCTGGCTGAGTTGGGCCTGCTCGCCAAGGAGCCACATGACGGGCAGGTTACATACACAGTGAATGCCGGCTTTCAGGCCCAGCTGCGGCGCACCATGTGTAGCGGGTGCGCATGCCCGCTGCCCGGGCATCGTCCTGTGCCCCCAATCTTTTTTCACATTCCAGTTATGCAGACTGGCATCATGGGTGGCGTGACCCTGCTGCGTTGGGGTGTTGGCGTGTTATGCCTTCGTGCCCATTCCACTCACGAAACTTGGCTATCGTCACCCATCTCAGCTGCTGGTCCAGCCGTCTGCCCGCTTGCATGCCCATGCTGCAGCCTGCTGATGGGGCATGCCACCCCGCCACCAGCAGCAGCGCCTGTACCATCCGCGGCTGAACTGGATGCTTATGCGCGACGGCAATGGGAGGCGCTGCTGCTGTATCTTGTGAATGGCAACGGCACGCCGCCCATGGCACCGCCGGTGCTGCATGCAACGCCCATCGACATCCCCAGCCTGCTGGCTGCCGCGGGGCTGATGGTCAAAGACGAGTGCACACTAGAGCAGAGTGAGTGGGGTGCAAGGACAAGACAGCAACAGGCAGGTGGTTGGACGCCAGGCTGCTACCCCCGGAGCGCGCCTACAGATCGCCTGCCCCTCTCCTGCCCTTTGCAGAAATCACTGAGCACGGCTTTCAATTCCTGCTGGCCAACCTGTACAGCCAGCTGTGGAGCGCGGTGCGGCAGTACTTGACGCTCCTAAACACGGCGGGGGGCGCGGATCTGGCTGTGGCCATCAACTTCCTGCTGCGCCTAGGCCTGCAGGGGGCAGCCGCAGCCATGGCCCACAGCCAGCTGGACAGCGCCGAGCGTACCATTGCAGCACACATGTGCCAGCTGGGGCTTCTGATGCCTGTGCCAGGCGCCAACGAACTGTGGCTGCATCCCACGCGCCTTGCTGCGGTGCTGGCGGGTGGTGGCAGGGCGGGAGAGGCTGCGGTTGCGCCAGAGGAGGGCTACGTCATTGTGGAGTCCAATTTCAGGTGTGGTGTTGCAGTGGATGGGGCATGGTTGGGTAAGGGCACTTGCAGGTCAGCTTTGGTGCGGCTCGACTAACCTGCCTTGCCCCCCCCCCTCCCCACAGGGTGTATGCGTACACCACCTCGGCGGTGCAGGTGGCGGTGCTTCGCGTGTTTGTGCGCTGCGATGCGCTGCTGCCCAACCTGTTTGTGGGCACCATCACGCGCGAGTCGGCCACCAATGCGCTGGACACGGGCATCGCTGCCGACCAAGTGGTGGCCTTCCTGCGCCAGCACGCCCACCCGCGCGCCGCCGCCAAGACGCCCACCGTGCCGCCGGCACGTGCCAGCCAGCCCCAACAGAACGCTCGCTTATTGATGGCTGCATGTCCCCTGCAACGCCCCGCCCATACTGTGTCACACTCCTACCACACCCTCTCTGCCTCCCCCCACACAGGTCGTCACCGACCAGATCCGGCTGTGGGCGCAGGAGCTGAAGCGGCTGCAGGAGAAGAATGCAACGCTGTATGACAAGTTTGAGAGCAAAGAGTTGTATGTGGGGGCGGTGGCACATGCGCGCCAGCTGAATGCGCTGCTGTACAGCTGCGAGGATCGGCGGCAGCTGGTAGTGGAGTCTGCCTTCCACGGCCTCATGGTGGGGCACCTGAAGGAACGCAAGCAGGCGCTGGGCCTCTGATGGAGCGCAACCAGCCTGGGCCCGTGCCCTGCCTTGCTACATTGACACGCCTTGTTTGCCAGACCGTGATCGGGGGGTGTCCCATCCTCAACTGGCCGTGGAGCAGGCCAGTAGAGGCTGCACCTCGTGCGTCTGGCGAGGATGATGATGATGAAAATGAATGCACCCCGCGGAGAATTGAGAGCGTCTAGGTGCCGTAAAATGCTTCTTACGCTCTTGCGTCCCAAGACACGTTTATCCATTTGAAATTCATGCATCCTTTCCTCCAAATGTTAATCTACGCCCCGCCGTGTTCCAGCTTTAGCTGCTCCCAAATTAATATCTGCCAGAGTTTTGTTGTAAAGCTCGCTGCATCCTCATCCAGCACCTCGCCCAGTGCCTCCAGCATGGCAGCAGCGGAGGCGTGCGCCGCCAGCTGGTCCATGATGAAGGCACAGAAGCTGGGCTCCTCAGCAAGCAGCTCCGCCACCTTCTTGTTCACCCAGCCTGCAGCAGTGGCAGGGGCACCAGGTAGGGAGCAAGGGATGATTGAGTCGGGAGAGCTGTAAGAAAACCACCAGCTCCGAGTGGCCAGCCAAGATGCCGGCTACTGCCGCCAACACCACTACCGCCCTGCTCACCAGAGATCTTGTCCTTGACCTCTGGGGGTGCTGCATCCAGCACCGCCCAGTTGATTTGGAAGGCAAACACGCCAGCCTTGTCCTTGGGGATGAGCCCCAGCAGCTGCCGCTTGAATGCTGCAGGATCGACCGCAGCTGGTGGCGCAGCCGCGGCGGGCTGGGCCACCGGCGGGCCCGCTGCACCGCCCTGTTCGCCCTCGTCCGGCTGCTCATGCAGTGCTTTGAGCTCCTCCTCAGAGTACCTGCAGGCAGGCAGGCAGGCGGCAGGCGGGGGGGACGATGACACCATGATGCAGAGAGGCGCTGGAGGGGCACACAGTGCCAGCAGATCCATTCTGGCACCGTGCAAAGCAGGGCCGGACCAGCTCGGTTGTTCACGATGTGTGTGGTGGTAGTTGCTTGCCTGATGGGTATGAGCTTGCGCTGTGGCTTGTCCTCCTCCTCCTCCTCCACGAACGCCGCCCGCACTTTGCGCTTAGCAACCGGCGCAGCTATGGCGGACGCTGGCTGCGCTGCCGGAGTTGCCGCCACAACTGGGTCGGGCTTGGCTTTCACAGCCGCCAGCATGGCTGCCATGATGCTGTCATCAGCACCAAATGCTGCCGCCTTGCCTGCATCTGGCTCCTCGGGCACTGCGGCAGGTTGGTTGGCTGCTGCCTTCGCCTCTGCTTCAGCTGCCGCTGCTGCAGCCTCCGCCTCTGCCTCCTCTCGCTTCCTGTCGGCTGCATCGTCCTGTTGCTCCAACTCGCGGCGGCGGCGCCGCTCCAAGGCGCGCCTGCTGCCGCCGTAGGGCCGCCGCCGCCAGGGCTCCTCTTCGTCATCGCTATCGGCTGCCTCATTGTCGGCATGCACCTGGCGCTGCCGCTCCCGCAGCAGGTCTGCTGCGCGATCCCGCTCCTTCTCCAGCTCACGCTGACGCATCCTGCAGGCAGCACAGTGCAGTTCACTGTGGCAGTCAGGTACAGGCCACACTGGACAATGGCATGCCGTTGAGTGCATGGCACAGGCCAGCTAGCACCGATCCAATGCTATCCCCACAGCTTCCACACTTGCCGTGCATGATACTCAACAGATAAACCCACTGCCGCAGCCATCCCCACCTCCACTTACCGCTCATGGTCCTCCCACTGCCGCACTGCCTCGCGGTATGCCCGCTCTGCTGCCTCCTCCCGCCGCTGCTCCTCCCGCCGCTGCCGCTGCCGCTCGCGCTCCGCTTCCCGCTCCGCCTCGCGCTCTACCTCGCGATCTCGCTTGCGGTCAGCGCTGCTGGCGCCACGCTCGCTGCCTGCTTTGTCACGGGATGCTGACAGGTTGGACAGAAAAGTGTCCGCTGCGGCTGCTGCAGAGGTCGGCTCGACCTTGGCCCCTGCCACCGCCGGCCGCTGGCTGATGAGCTCCATCACTCGCCCCAGCGCCTCATTCTCCGCCACCGCATCCTTGTCACCAGCAGCGGCGGTGCCATCCGCGCCTGGCGCCGCGCCATTCTCACCGCCCCCCTCTTTACTATGCTGCTGCTGCTGCTTGTTGCGCTTGTACCACTCCAGGTACTCCTCAGTAGCCTGGGGACGAGGGCAAGCCAGGTGACAGGGGAGGGAGCAGCGAGATAAAAGAGGAGGGCCGCCCAGCAGCGGATGCCATCTGGATTCCCACCATTGGGTGGCTGGCTGGCAGTCCCATCGGGCGCGAGTAGCCAATCAGGGCGCGAGTAGCCAACGGATGGCCAGGTCAGGATCCACACCACCTCCACAAACCCACCTTGTTGCACTTGAGCGCCAGCTCCTGCCCATCCAGCTTGAGGTTGTTGAGCACCTGCAGCGCCACCACCACCCCCTCGGGCTCCTGGGAGTGGGGGTGATTGGGGGTGGCCGGGCAGAGGGGGTGTGGGTGGTGAGCGGAGGGTGGGCGGGTGGAGCGGCAGTGGCGGTGCGGCGCGTCATGCCTCCACGCCTCCGCTGGCGGCCTGGTGGTGGCTGGGGGGTGGGTGGGGAGGCGGGGAGGTGCCTGCGTGGCCGCAAGCGGCTCCCTTTCCGGGGGTGTGACCCCACCGAAACCCTCCAGCAACGCGCCGCCTCCTCCCAGAAACCAAAACGCAGCCCTCAGCAAACGCGCGCCAAACCATACAAGGGCCCCGTGCTGCGCCCTGCTGCGCCAGCCAGCCCGGCAGCTACCCCCCCCAACCAGCCAGCCAGCCAGCCACCAACCCCAACGCCCGCCCACCCCACCACCCTCACCCCACCTCGTACGTCACAAATCCAAACCCCTTGAGCTTGCCGCTCTCCGGCTCTGTCACCGGCTTCCACTCCCGCAGCTTGCCGCACGCCTCGAGCAGCTGCTGGATGAATGGCGCCTCCACGGTGGAAGCGATGCGCCCCACCCACAGCGTTGTGCTGCGTCCGGGCGTGCCCAAGGCGCCTGCGGCACCCACTGTGGCAGGGCGCACATGGGGTGGCAGGTGGGGTGAGCCACTGGCCAGGCTGAAAGCAGCAGATGCCTGGCAGGGAGCAGGCAGGCTGGCAGCGCACCTGGTGACGGCCGCAGCGCAGGCTGCAGCGGCGGCCGCATGCCGGGCGCCATGGGTATGCCTGGGAGGCTGGCGACCATCATTGGCGGCATGCCTTGCGGCGGCATCATGGGGGGCCTGGCCCCAGGAGGGAAGCCTGCAGGCAGCAGTCAAGTCGGCAAGCGTGGTGGGTCGCCTATCCGGCCCGATCGCCCCGCTGCACGCCATCACTGAAGTGCAGCACCGCGTACCTCCAGGGTAGGGGGGCGGCCAATAGCCGCCTGGGGGATACATGGTTTGCTGCTGGGTGAGCTCGTGCCTGTGCTGTGGCTGATGATTTCAAAGAGGAGCGTGTGCCACCCAGGCTACAAATGCAAGCCGTATGCGGGCTCGGGGGGTTCAGGTCCAGCTGGCGCAAAGCACTGTCGTTGCCCACTATCGTCAATACTGTGTGTGCACGAGGCAGCAGCGCGCAAAGAGCAGTAGTCCACTTTGCTACACTCACCGTAAACTGTCATCATCAAAGCCCGCATTCGAGGACGGGCAGGCATGGCCGGCTACGCCGTGGGCGCCCAGGTGCAGCTGGAGCTGGTGCTGCCAGGCGGCGGTGGCCTGCAGACGACAGAGGGCACCGTGTATGCCTACGACGCCGCCACCGACCGCTTGGTGTTGCGGCAACCGGGCTCCACGCCCTTCCACAGCACCCTGAGGGTTCTCAAGGGCGCGCACGTCACGCGCATCGTGCAACTTAAGCCAACGATGGCCGTCCTGGAGCCGCTGCCGGCGGTCGACTTGGGCCGGTGCCGGGAGCGGGAGGACAAGGCGGTGCGGGCAGCAGAGTCGGAGGCAGCAAAGATTGGCGTGAACGTCAGCCGGCAGGCACAGGTGGGCGTGGTGGTGTGTGCGCTGCCGTTGCTGCGTATGGTTGTTGCATGAAGAGGGGCGGGCCCCCATGTCGGCTGGACCGTCACTGCGCTCGGCAACCCTGCTGCAGGCCATCTTCGATGCGCTGGCCAAGACGCTGCCCTGCCGCTGGGACGGTGACCGGATAGTGGTGTTGGATGAGGTGGGTGGCAGGTTGGGGCGACACCACGCTGGATTCCAGCTGCCTGCTCTCCTGCAAGGGCGATGCAGTTTGGCGGGGATGCCGGCAGTAGGCTGAGCGTGGCGGCGGGGATCCCAAGCCTGATTGATGCCTGCTCTGCCCCACAGATTGTGGTGGCCCCACCCTACGAGACCTGCACATCGCTGCACAATGACGATGCAGGAGTGATGCGTGTCAGCAAAGTGGTGAGCGGGCTTCAATTGCATTGCATTCCGACTTTGGCCGGCTGCCCGTCTCTGGCAAATGCGGATGGCAGGGTCAGCCACCGTTTGCCTGCCCCGTGTGTTTCTGCTCTGATCACCTCCCGCACTCTTCGCCGACGAATGCTATCTCTGGCATGCTGTCGCTTGTGCGCTGCGTGCAGCTGGATGCGGAGCGGTTACGGTTGCAAGCGGGGTGATTGTAATGCGGTGTTCTGGAGTCGTCACAATCCAACTTGTGTTTGCTGTAAACTATGATTTTGGAAATTGTAGCGCCACCACTTCAGCCACCACTTCAGCGCGCATGCATGCAATGGCCGAACGGCACAACAGCCCGGCACGTTTCACCACTGGCTTACGTGCCCAGCGGCGACTTCAATATGCACGCTGGTGTGCAGGTGGCCCAGGTGTTGCGTTTGGCGGCAAGGCCTGCCGCCACCCGCCACCCGACGCGCCGCCGAGTGCACGCCGCTGCCAGTTCCGACGGCATCTCATGGCTCAGTGAACAAGGTTAGGAACCGCGCAGAGACTGGGCGTGTCATGTGTGCGCCACATTCTTCTCACTGCTAGGCCCTGTGGGATCATCTAGGGCCCAATTTTATCAAACTGAACTTGGTACCCGCCGTGATGCAGCCGCGGATGTCGAGGCGGAAACCGAGGCCGAGGCGGCGGCAGCCGCTGCCGCCGCCAGCGACGACAGCAAGGCCCACAGTGTGGGCCTAGGCATGCACATCCGCGGGCGTTCCGCGTTCAAGGAGGGCCTCACAGATGAGGATGACCCCGCCCGCTTCCTCTTTCACCAGTCGTTGAGCCAGGCAGCGCTGGCGGGCAACTGGGCCGCCGCCGAGGCGGCCGTGGAGGAGATGGCGCAGGCGGGTTACGTGCCTGGCCCGCGAGCCTACCACGCGCTGGTGTTCAGCTATGTCAAGGCTCGCAATGCGAGTGGCGCGCTTGGGTCCATTCGGCAGTGCTGGGACGCCGGCATCACGCCGCTGCCTGAGACCTACGCTGCGGTGGTGGCAGCGCACGTGGCAGTGGGCGACCTGGATACAGCCGAGGCAGTGTGCGCGAGCAACCGCCGTGCGGGTGTAGATTGCAGCAAGAGCTGGCAGCAGCTGGTGGCAGCGCTGCTAAGGGCGGGGGAGCTCGAGAAGGCCAACGACATGCTGAGCCAGGTGGGTTGGGCTGGCCAGCCAAGCCGACTCCTGTCCAGTTCACCCGCGGCTTTTCCGCTGGCTGAGCTGCCGCCTGCTGCATCGGCCGCAGGGAGAAGCTGAGGGCATGCAGCCCAGTGAGGCTGTGTATGAAGCCCTGATCCAGCAGATGTGCTTGGAGCACAACTTGGAAGGCGCTACAAATCATCTGCAAGCCATGAAAGTGAGCTTCTGACCTGCCTTGCTTGCTTGTATCCATGGCTGCTGGCAACCGCGACTTTCAATCAATTGAGGCAGTGCATGACCATCCAACCTCTTTCTGCTGCTTGATGTCCTGCAGGAGCGTGGCCTGCAGCCCTCGCTGGCCCACTACGAGCCCGTCATCTCTGAGCATGCCATCCGTGGCGACACGCAAGGTTGGCTGCAGCGCTCGAATTGGGTGCAAGTGTACCTGTCATTTCTTCTGTCACCGCTCGCCTTTCTTGCTGAGCATCCACGCTGGACCCTGCAACCAAGATGTTGCACCGCTCCTGCCTTGCTCTGCAGAGGCACAGCGCTTGCTGATTGACCTGTTGAGTTCTAACACCACCCTTCCGGTTGGCACACTTGCTGTGTGCTACACAGTGTTTGAGGTGGGGTTGGCGCTGCAGTGCTGTGGCGTATGGTCAGCTGTTAGCTGCAAGCCTACTTACAGCCTAATCTTTGCTGGATTGACGTGGTTCTGATGTGGCCTGCAGGCACAGCTGCGGGCTTCCCAGACAGTGGCAGAGGTGACAGAGTATGAACGCCGCATGAAGCAGATGCTGCTGCGGTGGGGCGCACAGCCAGGGCAACGCTTCTTTGTAGCGCAGTTGCAGGCGGCTTTGCGCATGCATGACATACAGGTGGGTGGCACTTGTTGGCCTCACTATCGGCTTTGCTCATGCAAAACTACGCCATGTGTTGCGAGTGTCAGGGTGATCTGGCTGGGTCGCGTGACAAGCGCGCGTTGGTATTGGCAGGTCTAGCTTAGAAACACCGCTGCTTTGCTTCCGTGGGTTGCAGTATGCCATCCAGACATTCCAGGCACTGCGAAATCGAGCCGCCAGCCCACTACGTCGCTTAGATGATGATGTGCTAGGCCAGCTGCTGCTGCAATTGAGGTGGGTCATAGTGGGGGCATGCAAAGTGTAGATAGCATTGGGTGCCCACCTTTTAACAATGCGGCCCACATGTTGCGAGTCGTTATGCTCGCTGACAGCCATGGTTCCATCACCCCCGCAGCCACGCCAACCTGCCCGCTGAGCTGTACGAGGTTCTGTCAGCAATGAGCCGCGAGGAGAGGGCGATCCCCCCGGTTGCCATGCATACAGACCAGCACGGCTGCACAGTGTTGGGGGCTTGGGTGCGGTTTCGCCTGGGCCAGACAGATGACCCGCTGCCAGGCGAGGCGCAGGACCCCACGGCGGTGGGGCAGCCAGCCAGTGGCAGCAGTGCGGCTGTGAGCGGCACCATGGACATTGATGGCGTGCATGTGGACCCATTGCTGCTGTCAGTGGTGGATCCGGCAGGCAACCCGGTAGCGGTGTCGCGCATGTCGGTGAAGGAGCTGCGCGCTGAGCTGGTGGCACGTCGGGCAACAGTGTCGGGCAACAAGAAGGACCTGGCCAAGCGGCTGCAGGCGAGTGGATGTTTTTAACACCACCGGGGTGGAAGTGAATGGGGTG